CATCATAGATGGCAGGACCAGTGCTGAAGTGCAAGGAAAAATTTGAAAAAAATTTTGAAAACATTTTCTTCTTAGAGGGCGCTTATTTATAGTTTCAAACATATTTTGAGATTTTTTTTATTACATTTCTCTTTAAACTTCATTAAATAATACAATTTTGTACAAATAATTGAATGTTATGCCACTGTTTACAAAAATAAAATCTGAAATCCAATAAAAGATAAGTTCTTTATAATTTTTTCAATTCACAAATGTGATTTTGCCCTCATGATAAGACAAAATGGCCATGACAGGTAACAGGTTATTGATGTAGTCTTTTGTATTACTCTCCAATTCACAGTTTTGCTTAGTCACCAAGTTGTTATGATCTGATCAGTGATTTCTATGATGCTGATATGTTTTATACTTGCAAAGTTGTAAGATTTCTCAGTCAATTCTCCTTTAATCACAAGAAACACATCCGGTGTGAAGACTGATTTTATCAAAACAACTTACAATTTTATACTAAAATGTGATTCATAAGTTTGTATATATGGTACAGTATGTATCATTATAAAATTACATAGAATAACTTCAATATTTCTATCGTTTTAGATGATTGAATTCTTGCAAAACATATGAGAATTAGTTAGTTAAAATTATAACCTTCTTTGTGAGTTTAAATAGTCATGTGATGTTGAATATTTGTCAGCCAGATAATTTGCACTATCTCTGCTAATGCTGTTGATTAAAAAGCCAACAACATGCTTGTATAGTATACTTAGATAGCAGCAATAACATCTAAGGTTCTAATAATGGTCGGAGACTGCTTGAATGGGTAATGAGGGAAAACTTTAATATAAGTTTAACATGACAGCAAATGTACAACGTTTTGACAAGGTTTTGTCATCATCAGGTACTAATACCTGAAAACTGGTTTAAGTTTTTTGATAACTTGACCTTCACAAATTTAGGAATTAGCTTTTCAGAGCGGCACTGTCTGAGGAAGGAAATATCTTTTCTCCTTTTGATGATTTTATATTCAGGTTACGTAGTTTAAAGATAGTTTCATAGTATGATTTTTTTATGGTAGTGGATTGGTGAGAGAACATACTTAAAAAGTTATATATGGAATAACAGAGATAAACGTTTAGACTTGCACAACCTCTGTTAATCGCCGTGATGAATTCAAATTCGATGATGAGGAACCCACTTTGAGACTAATAATGGTTGGAGATGGTTTGAATGGGTAATGAAGGAAAACTTTAATATAAGTTTAACATAACAGCAAATGTACAACGTTTTGAAAAGGTTTTGTCATCATCAGGTACCTCAATGGGGTTCCTCGTCTTCAAATCTTAGGTTCTGTTCCTATCTGTACGTTTTATTTGAGGTAAGAATTCATAATTTGATTTTTTTAGTTGTAGAAACGAAAAAGGCAATTTTTTTTTTCCTGAAAGCTAATTTTATGAGTGACGTATCTGTATGTTTGAGGTGCTTGACTTGCAACGTGCAAGTCGTGGGATTCAAACCTGTCACTGAATATTTCCACCCTCTTGGTTGTTGGGGCATTATAATGTGATATTCAACCCTACTTTCCATTGGTAAAGAGTTAGTGGTGGATGGTGTTGACTAGCTGTCTTTCTTCTAGCATATCACGGCAAAATTAGGGATGGTTTTGTGGAAAGTTCAACAGAACAAACAAATTGTATGTTTGGTAGTGTATTTGGTATAAAATTTTAGATTCTAATCATATAGTACATTTTTTTCAGGTTTGGGACCAGGTAAAAGCACAAAATCCAGACTTGAAATTATGGGAGATAGGAAAGATTATTGGCCAAATGTGGCGGGACCTTCCAGATGATTCCAAACAAGAATTTGTTGATGATTATGAAACTGAAAAAGTATGTTGAAAATGTGTTAAAAACAGTTACTGTATCATTTCTGTGTTTTTTTTATAATCAATCATTAAAAAAAATATAAAAATCCAAGGAAAAGCACATGTTTCCTTTTTAATGAAATTTGTCATTAACTGGTGAACAAAATAGATCTATTTACTTAGGCTATGAGATTTTATATTAAATTAGGTTTATATATTTGTTTGATGTGTTACTATGGTGTGAAGCTAATAATAAATTTAAAACAACTGCTTATTCTAGAGTGATGAGCAGATAAATTATATCAGACTATTCATTGAATTTTTAAGGCATTAATATCTGAGTGGAGCAACAATGATGGACTTGATTACTGTTGTGTAAAATACCCAACTTCACTGTCTGCAAAGACATTATATTGTAAAAATATATAAAATTATTTGGCTTACTTAGTTAAGCCTTTATAGCTTTTGTTCTCAATGACTGTGGTTAAAAATATTAATATTGTCTATAATTTCTTATTAATATTCTAATACTTTTGAGAATGCAGCAGTTATTAACTTGGATTAAACTTGCATAGATTGTGCAGTTATATATCAGGTTGTTGACCCTTGGCTGGGCTTAAGTATGTTTGCCCTGTTGCTATAGTGTTGAGCAGCAATTAGCAGTCTTGATTTCCACCTCTTTATATTAAAGCACAATCTCTTATTTACACAGAAAACTTGGTGTAAAACTGATACTCATAATAATAATAATAATTATTTAAAGTAAAAGTAAGTTAATTAATAAGTAACTGAATAACCTATATATAAAGATAATAGCAGAGGTTGCTGCTAACCTGTTGCCTCCTCCTGGTCTGTGGTATGGTTCAAAATTGGGAGATGAGGTCACACTAGCTGGACAATGAACTGACAGTCATTCTGTGACAGGACTCCATAATTGAAGGGAGAAAAGCCTATGTTGTAGTTAATGCTAACACTCCTCTAGCGTGTACAGTAACCAAACTATCTCTAACCCTTAACCATTTAAGCATAGGCAGACGTGATTACCATCTGCTTGACTAGGGAAGGACATTTATGCAACAAAAATATGCTAACTCTGTGTGTTCCTCACAAAACTTCATAAGATTTTGTTAAATGACATTATTTTAATTACATCTTTTTAATAAAAATGTTATTTATCTAGAATAGTTATTTGCACTCAGGCTGTTAAAATGGTGCAAGGTGATTTTCGTTTTAAGTATAAAAACTTTTCTTTATCTTATAGTTTTCATATTTCATTTGTATAACCTCTTGAACCTCCTAAATGAATATCAAAAGTTTTTTTTAAGGTAAATGCTTATATTTTGTTTTTCATTTTCTTTACCATATCACAAACTATAGCTATTATCATCAATATACAATGCAGTGAAATGATTGAAATTAGGAAATAGAAAAAAAGTACATATCTTGTAGAAAATCTTTGAGGATAATGTTTTGGTTATATTCATAATTTCGGGTCTTTTTCACACATATAGCTAATTTTTAATGTTTTATATTACTTTTTTCTCCTTTATCACTTATTATTCATCTTGACGCAAGTCAGTGGTGCTCTCTAGGCATATTACAGAGTCACTGGCAGACATGCGCAACCCTTTGGCAAAATGTTCGTGCACCATGTAATATTGTAAGCCTTGAGTATCATTATGCATTTTAAAACATAAATAATACATAATTAACTAAAATATAAAAGTAATACCTAAATACAATTTAAAATGTATCTCTAACTATAACATATTTAGGTAAGAAACAACCATAAGTGCTACAGTCGATGAAGCAGCCAACAATAATACAGTCTGTTACATGTACGCTATAATGAAGACTGCAAGCCAATTTCAAAATAACCAATGTTAGATTCTAGTGTGAAAATGAGCTCTTTCTAATGACTATACACATGTGTATGCAACCTCTACATGTAGGCTGTAAAGCTCAAACAGCTCTTTTGAAGGTGGGTGTGGCACCAGTCAGATTGACAAAATTTATTACTTGTTTCAACTGTATTCATTCAGAGAACTTTAAAATGTATGAATCAAAAGGATAAGTAAGCATCTTATAGTCTAGACATACATTTACACAACCACCATTGTATTATTGAGGATACAGAGTGCAGAAATAAAGAATTTTCATAGTTCGTTGGTCACATGAAAATACATCTGAAGTTTCAAGTAGTTTTTTTAAAGATTTCTTTTGAAATAAATGTAGGTAACATAAAATTTTGAATCATAACATACATTATAATGTTAATTTCATTCACATATGTTGAGAGTAAAGGTGTTTAATTAAATTTTGAATGAAACACAGTGACTTGCACAGAAAAGTCTTTAACCCTTTCCAGACGGGTCATGGATCAAAGGCCATGTCATCGTGTTTGTTGACTCACATTCAAAATTTTTTTGAACTACTATTTCGTGAATTTATGTAAATAAGTTTGGTATCGAGCTATAGATTATAATTCAAATTTTACTATTATACATTATTCAATTTCTTAATTTAAATATAGATTTAAAAAAAACAGTTAACCATCGATTTTTGTGTGTCACATAGTATGTTGAATGCAGCACTGGTTTAAATTAGTTTTTTGTGATGTAAAAATACTAAGTCTATTGTTTCGTACAAATTAGGAACTCAAATTACCGATATTGACAAGTTGGAATATAAAATAAGAACCTCGTATCTTTTCTATTTGCCGAGATATCGCTCATGTACTGAATCAAACACAGTGGCCCCACTCACTTTTTTCCAACTTAGGAAATGGTCCCTTGTATACACTTCAATATATGTGTTAATAACCAATTGAAAGCTCTGAATGTTCACCTAGTGGTTTTCTCAGCCACTTTGAAATGTTAGTTCGCTGTCTCGTTCTTTTGAACCAAGATTTCAAGGAGGTAGGTTGTATATTTAGTCTGCTCGAAATTTAATATTTTTTTAGACCGAAATACAACTTAGTTACTAAGCTTGATAAAGTATTTTGAAATAAGTTCTTAAACATATTTTTCTTAAAACATAGAACAGTAAATAAAGAGGTAAAGCAAACAATTATCTCTTCCAGTTATGATTTTTGTACTCGGTTGCTAAGCCTTTTAAAATTTTGCACATGAAATATATGTTTTTAGGTTTTTTACATACAGTTGAATAACCAAAAAATTATAAATTACTATATCGATACCATAGAATTTCACTATAATTAATAATCTATATACATATATATAATGTATAATAATTGAAGTGTGATTGTATTTTACAAAATACTAGTCTACTAAACACAGCCAAGACAGGTCACCTTGTAAAGACTAATGGTCAGTTTTATATTATTGGATACGGTAACATGAGAGCATGTGTGCCGCATCATTGTAACTTGTGTATTGTTAGGCAGGCACAGCTGAAAGGTTAATATAATAAATGTATAATGTTAGGAGATTTAAGTTATTTAGTCTAAACATTTAAGTTTTTGTGTTATAAACTATTGTTGTTCTAGAATGAAAGAGGCATAATTTATATTAATTTCCTAATTTTTTATGGTGGTTATGAGATTGGTCAAACCAACCGAACCCGTACAGAGATCTGTTACTGAAATTAACAGATAAAATATATATTTTTTTTCTTAAGAAATGTTTGATAACTATCTGGACATTGTAAAGATTTCACATGTGAAATTTGAAAATTTTCTGATGCATGAAAGTATTTTTAATCTTAAAGTGAAAATTACTTTGCGTGTTGAATAGGCAACATACAAAGAGAAAAAAAAAGGCATGAGAAAAGCATTGCTTAACAAACCTTAAGACTTAAAAAAATTTGATATTGTGCATATTAAAGCATTGTAATGTTTACTGATAATGTGCCAAATGCTGTTAACTGAGCCCGTGCTGAAAGAGTTAAAAAGGTACCCATTCTGGAAAGGTTAAATATTAAACTACACTATAAAAACATATATATTAAATATATATAATTGACAGTAAACTACAAGTAAAAATGAAATTTTTCAGTATGTGTAATATTTTTTTCCTGAGTATTAAATTTTAATGTTTTTCTCTTCCAAGATCCTAAATTATTTATTTAAAAAATGTTAAAACTTAGTACTAGCTTTCTATTTACAGTTCAGGTTTACATTGATGACTGAAACATTTGGTAATAACTTTTTTATTTGCTCACTTGATTATGTTTGGTTATTTTTGCAAAGTATTTATTAATTTTTGAATTAATTGAAATTTAATTATTTCACTTACAGATGTAGTTTTCAAAATGAAAATGCATTTAAGTTACAAGTAATTTATACAATAATTAAAAAATAAAAGTACAGTTAGAAATTCCGTGTATTCATTGTGTCTGGCTGATTAATTTTAACATAAAACTATGACCAACAAATTAAATATAATATTTAAAATGTGGCAGTGTTCATTAGATAAAAACAGACACTTCTGAATTTAAAATTTTATTTGTTCTTTTACTTACATTATACATAAAAATGTTTCTTTGTTCCTTTAATGTAACATCATTTTTAAACATATCTCTGAGTTCTACAGTCATTTGTTTATTTGTATTACCGTGGAGATCACGAGATCATGGACAGTGTCAGGTGTACATAATTTCTGGTTATTGTTAAAAACAGTGCTATTCCTTGAATGACTGAAATGTAATGTTGTGAGGATTGCCATGTGCTTTCATCTGTTAGATTAAGTAAAATTTTTATAATGTTGAGTGAAATTAATTGTAAACCTCAGAAAAGTGTTGAAAAAGAAAGAAAAAATAGTTGTATTTTTATGACTGAAAATATTAATTTAGTCTTTATAATGCATTGAACCTGCAAGCTAATTCATGGTTATTTACTTTTATCTGTTTCTGAATGCGAGTGTTGGTAAGCTGAGTTACCTTGCGAGATGTGTTCCTTTTTTGTGATATTTCATTTCCTTCATTTAAAAATAGAAGTTAACTTTAGAGCACCATTTAAACACAAGGCTGTTTTTGCTGTTAATCTAGATTAGAAAAACACCAACACTGTTTTTGCAGCACTTTAACAATTTTGTAATGTTTTTAATCTTTATTATAATTAAAGCAGTAATCCTAATAATAATGTCTTATGTTTTAATGCTAAATTGAAACTTTTTTGGATAAGAATCACTAGTAATAACAGCACTTGCATGAAGAAATGTTAGTGAATTAGAGTAGTCAGAAAGTGTATTATGTGACTTTGTTTGTAGTTGATACTTCATTTGTAGTTATATTTACTCTCTCCAAATTTTAGATGGAGTACAATGAAGCACTGAAATCATACCACAATTCCCCGGCTTACCAGGCTTGGGTTGCAGCTAAAGTCCGAGGTATTTATCTGAATGCTTTTGCAAATATTTATTTAAAAAACAAACTGAAGTACTAGCTTGTACAGGTTTACTTCATTATGCAAAAACACAATTTTAAATCTGTGTTTAGTGGTTGGAACTTTGTTTAGTAAGTGTACAATATGTTTTTAAACTTTGAACAGTTTTAAATGTTTTGATTTAATGAAAAATTTAAGAGTATAAACATCAAAATCTACCTAAAATATTTATTAAATACTCAGTTAGAATAATGGTCAAAGTACCCAATAATTTAAAATTGTAGAAAGCACCATGCCTTACCAAAAATTTACATATTTTAGTGGGACACAGACCCACTACATCAGGAGGTAAAACAGCATTGGGAAAAAAACTAATTATATATTTCTATTTTGTATAATGCAAGCACTGTCAAAATTTAAAATATAATTATTTTTGCCAGTTGTCAAAATAAATGGTTTTTACGTATATTTCTTAATAGTATAAATATATATACGGTGTTGTTATTGGGCTTAGGATTCTTCAACAGTAGGTGTCTATGACTTATTGGTGATAAATTCAGCAATAAATGAACAACACACACTTCACTTGTTTTCAAAATAATTACTGTTGCACTAGTATTGTGTGTGTGATTCACTTGCAGTTATGGCGCAAGTTGCCGTAATCGTTTGGTCTTCGTTCTTCTAAATATCCTCTGTTCCTTTTGTCAAAGTGCACTCAGGCTGATTTAATTACTTTAGAACCACTCTTTGACAGAATAATTATTATACTTATCTCCATTTCTACTGTTAGTCTTACTCTAACATATTCAATGTTAGGCCTATCACGTCTGTGGTAGTTAACTTCACACCACACTTTTCCTTACCCGTATCTTTACTTTCTTCTGCTGTTGTCTGTCTGCTGTTTCCATTCATTTTACACTATTTATATCTTTATCACTTAATCATCTGGCCTTCTAAAAATATCTATGTTCTTGATGTCATTGTATTGCACATGGTGTTCGATGGTCTCAACATCAGTGAATTATAAACATAACTTCCTACAACATCAGCTTTTAACTCTTATTATAACAAAAACTAAATAATAATAAAATATTCACTAAAATAAATCAATTATATCTAAACTAAACAATCTTTTATATCATGACAAACACATTGACCAATTTTTTGATATACATGGTTCTGCCACTTATTATCTATTTAAAAAAGAATTCCCAAAGATGAACTTCTACAATTTCTGGAGCCATATTACTTTTTAAAGTTATATTCAAATTCTTAAATATTTCTAATGACACTATTATATTTAGTTCATATTTGTTATTTTTATAATTAATTAACTTTATCTTATTCCAATCACTGTTTGAATCAGAATTCTTAGCTAATGTTCTGCTAAGTCTGATTCATTTATTTTTCGTTTTTATATAGCTGACTTGTGTTTTTTAACACGCTTGCTGTCACCAGTAGTATTCATAATTCCTACACTAATACCAACCACACGTTTCATTTCATACTTAATCCAGGTGTCTGATATTTATGTGGATAACTATACTATGTTTAATTATCTCATTGAGGCCACTTGTAATATGTAACCCACCAGTGGGGTGGGGCACATGGCAGCAAATGTGTTAAGCCTAAATTTTAAATTTCTACATGTTTGACCAGTTTCAATTAGTCATATTTAAATATTATTTAACTTTGGAACTTAGTATTTGCTATATTCCTCAGTAGGTTGTTAAAGTGTTAGTTAAAAATCATTCTCACTAAATTCACACAATTTTTTATCAGTTTTACATAGTAAAACTTTTATTTTATTCACAATGTTTCACCAGATTTACCTGGCATCATTAGGTGGGATAAAATAAACAAAAGTTTTACTATGTACAACTGATAAGAACTTGTGTGAATTTTAAAAATGTAGTTCTTTCTAATATTTATTTCTCACTAAATATTGTACTGACTGGTGCAGTAATCATGTTTAAGATCTTGTTATTAAACCTGAAGGTCTTAAAATATTTGTTGGCCTGCGGGGGTAATTTTTTACTGCTATTGAATATTTTTATAATGTAACCATTCATAAGTTTAGAAATGTTAGAGTAAAACTACTTCATTGAAAAGAAATTATTTTCTCTACATTACTCTCACTTAAAATGGTCAACAATTTACACATGTTTAATACATCAGGAGACACATTCAAATGTCTCGTATATTTACTTACAGCATTATTAAAACTGTGTATGTGTAAGGAAATTACAGCATTGGAACAAGCATACAAGTTATTTCATGAAATAACATATTTGCTTTATATTGTTTAAAGTTTCTTGAAAAGCTCAACTAAGAATAATAATTTTCTATAAGGGTTTAGTAATTTTATTTTATTACCCATGTTATGAGCGTCAATCAAATGTAGGTTAACTAATGATGTACTTCGTTTTTTTTCCCATTGATTTCAGTAGTAAAATACTACATTAGGCAATGTAAACATGATGAAACAATAAAATATTACGTTATTAGTTTTTACATTATGGTAAAAAAAAATTTAAACTGCTGTTTTTTTTTTGTGTGTTTTTTCCAAAAGCTCAGCAGGCTGCAGAAGAGAAAGAAGCCATGGACAGGAGTCCTGCATCTGTAAGTTCTGTAATAGAGCAAGAACTTTTATTAATTGGGTAGCCTAATTCTTTTCATAAATATTATGTAAGACTGATTATAAATGGTTGGAGTAACACTCATTCATTATAAAGTTAAAAGGAATACATTTTTGTCTAGGTAATTTGACTTCCTGAATGGCAAACTGTGTTTAGTGGTAGATTCTTAAACCTATCCATAAATAAAGAATTGAATTTAACTAACAGTTGATAAACTTGAAGAAAAGCAGGATAAAGACATAATTGCTTTGAATTTCAAAGGTATGTCAAGCTGAGAAAGATGTATTGTCCCACTAAATTCAACAAGCGTAAGACTAGTTTTATAAACTGACTTAGTGTGGAATTGAAACAGTTGAATATACTCAATATCAGTTGTATTATTACCTGTAGTAAAAACAAAAAGACAGAGAACTAATTTTTTAAATTTATTGTTTACTAAAAAAGTCGTATTTTATATACCCAACCAATTTTAATTTTATTCATATTCACTGACATCTGTGATTTTTTTGGTATGTTTTTTGCTTACTGATGCAATTCTTGTAACCTGATCAGAACACAAATCTTGTACGATCAGTAATGACTTAGTAACATCATTGTGTAATGTACTGTCATAAGTTATGTTGAAAATATATATTGTGTGTGTATGTATGTATGTGTGTGTGTATGTATGTATATATATGTATTGCCAGGCAAATGTTGTACCAACTGATTTATATGTTTCACCCACTGTGCTTACTAGTAACAGCTTTTAACCAGCCAAACTACTACAGTATTACAGAGGGTTGAATATGTAATATTAAAACTATTTCCCAGCAGTGTCTGCTGCTTTCACCCTTTGAAAACATTTGGCAAATTACACGCTACAACTCACTGAAATACAAGTTATTTTTACACAGGGTGTTATATTGTAATCAGTTAAGTTCTACAAGAACTATAAAAGTGTTAATATTTCAAACATAGTTGTTTCCCACTTTCTACCTAATAATCATTCTTATAACCGAGAATATTCATTTTAGAACTTACTCTTTGAGCACTGTACTGATGTCTTTGAAGCAGCCATTCATGTATTCTTCTTCTGAAGTAAATTTTACATTTTAAATGAAGAGCAGAAAGTTTTATTTCTGTAAATAATTTTTTACAGGCTCAAGCATTAAATAACAGACTGTTATTTGCTATTACAGGCTATTTGTGAAATTATACAGGTCTTAAAAGTTAAGATTCTGAAAAACAGGTTTGCTGAGGGGGGGGAGGTGTCTGTATATTATTTCATTTAGAAATTTAGAGAAATATTTCTCTACTCCAAGAATTCAGGTAACAATACTGCAAGGTGGCCTATACAAGGTTTAAGTACATTATATTAAAGGGATTTAGAGCCTCATCATATCGTTAAAGTCATGATTTTTGCGATAACTGCAGCAGTTTTTTTCATAAAAAGCTCTGTCATAAGGCTGTCACATCCTTGATTCTTTTCCATAATACATCTTGTGTACAAAGATGGTGATTTCCCATTTCCACAGTTCTACAGGCATTGCATCTGGCAACATGACAAATATGTGCTTTGCTGATTTGCATATTCCAAACCTAATTATAACAAAATCCCACTATCAGCAACAAGAAACATGGTACTAGAAACAATAAGAAAAGATTCCAAGGTCTCTGATTACTGCTGTGTCTAAACAAGTATTGAATGTAGAAAAACCAGATTTTAATTTATAGCTTCTGTCTTCAGGCTGCTTTTTCCCACAGTGTTTGCAAAACTGAAGAAATTAACTTGTATATCATTATAGTTGCACTCAAAAAACACTTTTATTTTTGGTAAAAAAGTGAGAGCTCTGATATGAAACGTTAAAAATAATTAAGTGCTTCTGAACTAGCTGTATTATTTTCATTTTATCTAAGAACCACAATATATTTATAGAAATTAAAAACATTACCCACAGAACTTAAACAAAAACTTCCCATTAACACTAACTACATGAAATAAAAAATTCTTAATATTGGGTCGTCAAGAAATTAATGTCACTTTTTTTTAGATGAAAAACCCCAAACAACTTGTATATCAAAACAAAATGTTTATTAAATGAAATAGTCTCCATTC